GTTTGTCTTGCCGGTAGATAGATCCACCAAAATGAAACAACGAAGTATCACAAAGCAGTTCTTTGATCGTGCCAAATTTGGACGAGATTTTCAAGCAATTGCCAAAAGCCGTTTTGGGATTCAAGCAATTATCAGAAGATTTATTCATTCACTGAGCCTATTGCATAGATTTAAAGGATCGCTGTTTGGAAATGTTTCATTTTCGTAGCATTTAAAGCGTGGACATTCGTTGAAGCGTGTTAAAGATGGACCATAAAAATGTGATATGTGATTATTGTTGAAGGTTTTATCACGAATGGAAATTTGCATTCCGTTAACACTTCTACTGGATGCATTCTCGGAGTGTGTTTTGCGATTATCCCAAATTGAGCTGTCACCAGTGACAGAGAATGACCTCGAAGAAGGTCGTATTGCAGCACAGGTGGCGATGATCGATATCATTGCTCAACAGGTTCCGTTTCCGAATAACCACTTCACATTTAAAGACTAATATCTCTCTCTGTCTCAAATAGTATGTGTTCGTTTCACACATTTTTTAACCAAAAACAAATCACACCGAATTGAACTTCTGAAAATCTCTGAAAAATTCGTTTCATTTTGAATCAAAATTACCATCAAAATCGGCTGCCTATTTGTATTGACTGCTTATATTCAGTATGTTGTCATCATGGGTGACCTCAGTTGTACTTTATCGTGGCGCATAAGCGAGAAAGTGTCCACTGCAAACAGTATCCAATGGGATACTGCCTTTGTGTCAAGAAAAATGAACATTTTGTCACCTCAAGTGACTTAGTTGGAGTGACTTCAAGTGTAATTTGTTTGTTGAAAGGAAGTGTTGCAGTTGAGAATGAACGAAATTGGCGTGCACGAGATATCCGCATTAACTGAGCACATCTTCTCGACGTGTGCCAATCTGTTGCAAAATCATTTCGCAAGAGGCGAGCACACCTGCAACAATCCAGAGATGGATGGATTTCTGGATTGTTCAGCGTGTCAACAAGCCGCATTCGTCTATCAGACGGTCACACAACTCGTCGAACAACTCTGTCCAAAACAGCAAATGCGAATTGCGGTTCAAGTTGATGAGGTTGCTTTGTGCACTATTCGGCAACAAATCTTAGTCTGCCATTTCAGTTTGATAAAGCATTCGAATTTCTGCCGTGATGACG